GGGGGTGGGGTTGGGGAGTGATTTCTCGCTTTCTGTCTCTCTGTCTCCCTCTGTCTTTCTGACGAGTGCACGTGCCCTACAGCAAAAACCTCTACAAAAAAATAAAAACAAGATTTGACTAGAGGTAAGTAGGCTTTTGACTCAGCAAAACAAGCTGTAATTTTCATCAGGGAAATCTGATATATAAAACTATCTCCTGTAAACACTAAATTGTGTGGTATATCTGACAGGATATAATTTTGCTCTGAAGAAGTGATAGAGAGAAGGGAATCTCTTTTCAAATCACTACTGGCTCATTGACATTTTTTCTTTGTGTAACATTCTTTATTCTCCTAACCTAATACTGCAATTAAATAACAGTTCACCTTTCAGATTTTTTTTTTTTTTTTGTGGAGTCACCATTATTTGTGTGTGTTAGAACATGTTTAAGTAGAAAAGTTAGGAATGTAGAGACGGCAGGAGGGACACTTTGATGTAGCTGTGTGAGGGATGCATAGTGAGTCATCCTAATGTGTGAAAAACTATGTGTGCTAATGCTGAGAAGCATTGCGAGTGATGATAGCTTTTGCTGACAAGTTCTACCCTGAACACAGCCCTTCTGAAATGAAAGGGAAAAGAAGCTGTTTATATTTCTATTTAAGTCTGGGGGTCGATTTTCTTATGTAAAAGGTGCAAAACTCATAGTAACTGAATACTAGGAGAAAATAGATACTGTATGTTATCTTTTATACTTTAGCACTGTCATTAAATGTTGCTGGAGATCCATGACATTTGAACTCAATTCTTAGCTAGTAAGCTAAAGTGAGTTTTCCAATAATGTTGTGAAAATAAATATGATTTTGTAAATGTTTATTCACACCTTGCTTCTGTGCGTCGTGTGGGGCCTGCTTTCATGGTACATGGTACTATTTAATCTCTGTATTTGTTTCTGTTTATATGCTCCCCATGTGACTTGTCTGAATAATATACAATATAATAATTATAGCAATATTTATGGAGGGTTTGTTTTGCTCCAGTGGGCTGAGGACTTGATATTCTGTATATTTACTCAATTAATCCTGATGACTATATAAGGTAGGTGCTATTACCACAAGTCTCTGATTCCAGAGTCCCAGTTCTTAATCATTACACTAGATCATTAGCTAAGAGAATAAAGAATACATTGCTGTGCAAATTTCCAAATTTAGTTCTTTTTTAGGTAATCATTTAGGTAATCGTAGTAAATGAGAACATGAGACTCTGGGGAATCTCCCTATCCTTCCAATTTTCTACAGGGGTCTTAAGAATCATAACTGGAAAGGAGAGGGATTTTAATATGAAAAGTGTTTATGAAAAAAATTTAAAAACATATATTTAATTAATTATTATGATGATTATTTTAAAATTTGTTATATAGCATGTGCACTTACCAGAGAAAGAGAGAAAGTGAGAAAGCAAGCTCCAGGTCTGGGACTCAAATCGGAGCTGGCCATGGGGGAGTCCAGTGCTTTAACCACCACACCACCTACTGGTCCCTGAACTATCTATCTTAAAATGGTATTTATTTACTATGTTTACACACACTTTGTATTAGTTAATATACCTTTCAAGGTAGGCCAGTAATGATTGTTCAGAGCCAGTTACTAAGGTTACACACTGCTGGCAAAGAGAACAATGCGAGTAGTAATTTGAAGGCCCCTTTGATTGTTGTCATTAGCTACTTGTAAGTCACAGTTGTTTCAGAGGAGAGAAATCCACGCTAGATTTTTCCTGAAGCACCTTAGTGCATTTCGCCTTGAGCATTATTACTCAGGTTTATAGTTTACCGATCTCTTTTATACAAATGGGTTTGTTTTTAACACATGTGATAACATAGCACTGATGGGTAATCTAAAGCATAGTTTAAATATTATAAAAATAATTTTATTAGTCACAGACTGATAGTATTCTTAAATGGAGAGTAAACTAAAATTCATGTTTATTCTTATAGTCATTGTTACTGTAGAATTAATAATTAGATGATATACTTGAAAGATGATTTTTTTAGCTATACAAAAGTAGTATTTCAAATCATAGAGAACATAAAATAACTAAAGACAAATGTAAATGCCAATTTAAAATAGTTTCCTATTTTATCCATTTTTATATAGTTTATATAGATTATCTTGACAACAGTGTATAAGGTTTCAAAAAGAAAAATATGATACAAAAAGTTGAATATGGAAATTATGTGGAAAGAAATGAAATCTTCTTTTGTTCATACTTTTCAGATAAAAGATATTTAGCTAGTATAAAGGGCATCATTTTAGCCCTAAGAGATAAAGTACAGAAATCTTTGGCAAGGTTTTAGATTAAATAAAAAGAATTTACATACAATGTGTCACCCATTCAAGGAAGGATGTTTTCTTCTGATATTGCTCTGTTAAGGAAAAAGAGATTAGTGTGACAAATATATGGTGGAGAAGACATTGTGCAAAGGAACTCTTTCCTAAGTTACCATGTGATTATTTGAGCAATTCAAACAGTACAAAATGCACTTTTGTTCTAGTAAACTTACTTCTTGCCTAGTTGTAGCAGCTTTCTGTCAAAAATGCCTGTCAAAAACGGTGTTATTTGCAGCTGCGTGGTTGAGTACCTCCTTGGCTCTTAGTGATAGATGTCTCCACATAGAAGAAAGGTTCCTATTTTTTTCTATAATGTGCAAAGACGAGACTGATACAGCATTTGAGCTTTCATGTCAAAGAGAAGGTTAAATTTGGCTATATTGGAAAATAGTAAATGGAAAACGGAAGAGCATTCATAGATCTCTTCCAAAGTCTTTTCCCCAGCCCTTTCGATAATTAAAAAGAATAAAGACTGGGACCAGCTGGTGGAGTGGTGGTTAGGGCACTGGATGTGGCCAATCATAGTTTGAACCCCAGACCTGGTGGCTTGAAGATCATGCCAGGTGTGTGTGCACGTGTGCCCCAAATCCCAAGAGAAGAATGGATTGTGGCATGGTCATCCTCCCTTGGGGGTGATTTCTCATTTTCCCTCTTGCTGTTTTTCTCTGGTGAACAGACACCATATGGCAAAAGCCTAAAATAAATATTTAAAAATACAGACACTATGAATGCTTTGTGCTCTTCTGTTTTTCAGAGGGTCTACCAACAACCATTTTACTGACTTTTGTCTGAAATAAAAGAACAGACAGATAAAGACATGTTAGCTTTTATCTCTCTATTTTATTTACTCTCTAGCTCTCTAGGGATACAATTTATATGTATTTAGTGGGAAGCATCTTGGGATGACATTTCCTAAAGGCTTAGCTTTTTATTTTTTATTTGTTTATTTTTTAAATCAGGAGAGACCTTTTCCTGTGATTTTAGAGGAACTGTCAGAAGAGCAGAAAAGGGGATGAGGGGATTGGGAGATCTGGTGGTTCTTCCAGACATAAGATTTCGCTTTTCTGTCCCCCCTGATTACATGACTTGCTTTGACCAATGAAATGTGAATAAAAGTGGCATGTGCCCCATTTAGACAGAAGCATTTACTATTCAGTGAGAAGCACTGATGGGAGCTTGTTCCTCAGTAGCAGTTGTGGAAACTTGTGTCCTGCTAGAGCCCTTCTCATGTGAGTTCCCTGAATGACCAGGATAAACCAGGCGTCCTTGACAACGCAGCAGATAGGGAGTGTGAGTGAGAAATTCTTTGCAATGTTAAGCGTGGAGATTTCGAGATTGTTAAACTCTTGCAACATAAACTAGCCCATTCTGATATATAAATAAATTCATCTTTAGACATGAGGTTTTGCCATAACAGAAAACTGCCATTTATGTGACAGGCTGCAGCAAATAGCAAGGAAACTGATGATGGAGACTGGGAAGACAGTAATCCGGGAATCAGAATGGCAACATCACAATCAAAACCAGTCTGTGCTCAGCCGAAAGCTCCAGGAGAAGCTGGAGAGCGGTGCGAGTGGTGTGATGCTGTGTGGATCTTTGTTCAGCTGTGTACGTCTGTTCCATTCTGCTGCATAAAGAGGATGGTGGTGGTTTTTGTTTATTTGTGTGTTTGTTTTTTGATTAAGCAGTGTCTTATAATTTTAAAAGTACTCTCACTAGCCCTGTAATGGTTTGGGTGGGCCTCTCTTGATCATAATGATCTTACTTCTTAACTGAGAAACACAAATAGCTCCTGATGTTTTTCCTGATTTGCTTTTCCTAACCTAAGGAACTTAGTTGTTTAACTTTGACCAGAGAAGTTATTCAAGAAGCAGTAATTATCTTAATGTACATTGAGTGTGGTGTGAGAGAGTA